TGTTTTTGTCATGGTTTCGTCTCTATTGTTTTATTCCGGTGTTCTACATATTGAGGCTGTAATAATCCCCTATGGCCAGGGGTATCCAAAGTCGGTCCTCGAGGGCCGACTTTGGGCACCCCCGCCCTATGGGATTAGTTTCTGTTTTTGGAAAATAAAGACATTAAATTTCACAAGTGAGATGGTAACTTTTCCAGCAACACATGCTGGACGACTCTGCCACAAGCTTAATGTTTATCACAGAAAAGCTGCTGCTTTAATGTGTGGTAATGATCTGAACGAAGACGCTCAGTGTGTTTGAAACTAACCGAGACACTAAATTCAGGCTCTGGGGCCTCATTCATAATCACACCCCAAAAAGTATACAGCCCTCAGTCACGAGCAGCCCCAGGTATTAGATCTAATCTTGCATGTTCAAATCTTACACACGACATCAGCAAAACCATAAGGAATGGCTTTATAAAGAAAAAGCTTTTTGCTGAGTTTTTATATTGAATCACAATAAAAATCTATTCCCCCCCCCACATTCTTTCTGTATTGTAGCTGCTGTGTTTACCCATTCCAAGTAACAACAGGCTGATTCTGATCTCATGAATCATGTAACTCTCATATTCTGCTACCTGAAGCACGAAGCTGCCTTATCTCCACACTTGTTTACTGATTCAAGATGAATGCTGCCGCTGGTAATACAGAGGAAAGGATTACAAGGAATTAACACCTTTTAAGTAATACTAATTGGATTGTCCTTTTGATTCATTCACTGGACCAAATGGTGTTGGCTAGAGAAAAAGCAGCTCCCACTGTAATTTAAGCACATTTTACAGCTAATATCTCCCCCTTCATCACATATTAGCTTAATATTTCAAAGTAGAAGCACGGACTGGAAATCCTAGTAGTTTATTCCTTAGTCTTTACATACATTTAAATCTGTTTTCACTCATAACAAGTTAAATCTCCCCCCTGTTTTCTTTCCAATTTCCAAATGTAGGATTCAATATCTGGATAATCAATTATCCAGAACAGACTTTACCAACTGAGATTAAAATGTTCTTGCATTCTTATTTATGAGTGAGTTGTAAAATTACAGGATAGTGGAAGTGGAAATCTGATGGGCCAAAAAGCTGCATTTGAGTGTGTTCAGCGACCTCTGAAGCTGCGCAGGACCCGTTAAAGTTATGAAAATCTAGTTTCTGTTTTCTGTTATAAAAATTTAATCTCAAAATGTTAGTCCAGAGTTTATTTTGCATATTTGTAATAAGAAAGACATGCAGAAAGAGTAAGCAACTGATGTTTTACTCCGTCTTCCAGTGACAGTTCTTCCATCAGTAGGGGTTAAGAACCAAACACTCCTCTGTTCCATTATGGATCCAGCTGTGTGGATGTGTTTCATCTCTGTGTGTGTGATCTTTCCTGAATGGAGGATCTTTGCTGGAGGGCGTGGCCATCCTGCTGCAGACTCCTCACCTGTCTGCAATCATCCCATCATCTGCTGAAGATTTGAGAAGCTCTTGGAAAGGCCATCTTTGCCCAATGATCAGCTTTTATTGGTAGTTAAGTAAAGTGTCACTCTGCGTTAACTTCTTGCTGTCTAAGCTCATTGTTCATGTTTAACCTGCTCCATGTTTACCCCTTAAAGTTGTTCTATTATCTTGGGAACATTACTTTTTTTTAACTGTCCAAGCTGAAAGAAAAGAATAATAAGGTCCACAACCTGACTCCTAGGTTTAGATCTTGGTTTTGGGGTGGGATTAAACTATTATCAGAAAATAACTCATGAAAATAAAAGGACTGAAGAATGTATTGTATAATGTAAAAGTCCTTGTGGAGAAAAAGACACAACCACGTGAATGTGTGTGCATTCAGAAGTGGCTCATGTTTTTGTTGTTGGGTTAATGCAGAGTTGTTATTCCGTTCAGGTGTTGTTTCCCGCTGGATGCGATCAAAGTGAATGGTGCTTTGTAAAACTAAAACCGAGAGCTGAAAACAATCAGCTTTAAGTGCTGAAAAGGTAAAACAAAATGCATCCAAACGTACATCAACGTTGCTCTCAAAGAGACCTGTGGAAAGGTCAGAATTAGTTTAGAAATTCAAAGCACGCCACAGCTTTTTGAATGAAGTGGCTTCAATCTTCACACTGAGTTTTGTGCCATTGCATTACATTCCAATCAGGGCTGCAAGTTATTATTGAGTTCACTAAAAGATGATTGATCTTACCAATCAATCAAAATGTCCACTTATTAATTGACAAGCAGACATTTTCTTAAAGTTTTCTTGTGTCAAGAAGGTCGACCATCTTACCAAACCATGAAGGGCATTTTTTTTTTTGCTAAATAAAAAAAAAAATCACATTTATCAATTTTTGTGTCAGCTGTATTAAACAGCTGTATTAAACATTGACCAAATAAAAAGAAAATGTTGGTTTTCTTACACTATTAAACTTAAGACATATTTATACAGTTGAACAAAACAGGATGTTTGCTCTCAAAGGAATGTTAAAACTTTACTCTATGAAGTCAATCAAAATTAAACGTGTTTATTGGTGCCATGTCTTTTTCCATGTTATTTTCCATTATTTCTGTGTTCTTTTTTTTTTTTTTTTGATATCACATCCTCAAATCATCAATCAATAAATCATAAAATCTAAGAGAGGTTCTGCACAGGCTTGATTTTATAGGAATCTGAAAAAACTTTTTTTTGGAGAAATACAAACTTTCTCATCTCCTGAACAGGATGTTTGATTGCCTGAAACCACGTGTTAACAAATTAGACTTAATTTGAGAACATCTCCAAACATACATCTTTAAGGGCAATGTCATTATAAGGATGGGGATTGTTTCAACAAACGCTCCTTAAATTAAATACACCTGCTTCAACTTATTTCATTATGTAGTTGTTTTATAAGAACAAAAAAACAGAAATACACCATGTTTTTTTTACTGTCATTTTTGGAAAAACAAAAACAAATCCAACATTAGAAAGCTGTGTGTGGAAATCTAAGAACAGCCTTGGTGCTTTCATGAGATTTAATGTTAATTAAAGCACTTGATTAACAGAGCTCCAGTAGTTTTACTCTAATAGAGAGGTTTTGGCATAATGTGTGTCCGAGTACTACGCCAAGGAAGAAGAATGCTGCCCAACAATTTGGGAAAAGTTATAAAGCCATTCACTAGATAATTGTAGTCAGTCTTTAAACAGAAAAAAAATCTCTACAAGTGGAAAACATTTAAGAGAGCTCCAAATGTTTCTGGTTGTGACAGCTTCCTGGTAAAACAGTGTAATCCTTAGAAACATTATCAGAACCCCAGAGCTCAGTCTCAGAAACCACGTCTGTTAAAATATTAAATGTTAGTTTATGACAGCACAACTGGAAAACATGGGACACGGTTCAGCTTGTTTGGAAGGAAGTGTTGCAAGGAGAAAGCATCTTTACACTAAACAAAAAGGGCAGAGCAATTTCGCTTTGCAAAACTGCATCTCATCTAATCTCAAAATCATTACAAAGAATCTGAATGAACTTTTAAGATGTCTGCAACAATATCCTGAGCATAGAAGAGACCAAAATAGAGCTCCATGTTTAGGGAAAAGTAAACTTAGCATATCAGTACTAAAGCCTCATTATCAGCTGTCAGCTGGTGTAGGTCTTATTTTGCAGTCTTTGAGTAAATCTGAACCCCTTTATACCAAAGTACCTTCGAGTTCAATGTAAGACAGTCTGTCCAATGGCAGAAGCTGTAAAGAACTGGGTTTACGCAGCAGGACAATGACCTCAAACACAGCAGCAAACCTACAAAAGGAAGGCTGAAAAACTGCAGGGGACCAGTCAAAGTTCAGAGGTCAACATAATTAAAAGGCATATGTCTACAAACTAAGTGAACCAAAGAAATCTTGAAAGTCAGTAAGGAAAGATTAATTTAAATAGTGATATCTTTAGATAAACATGAGAGAAAATCAACAAAAGTATAAACGGTGAGTAAAAATGAAAAAAGGGAAATAAAAACAACATTCAAACCAAATTAAAATGAAATGAAGGCTTATTCACATAAACAAGTTCAGTCTGAGATTAATTTACTCTCCAGGGGTTCAATAGGAAAATCAGTAACCTTTGACCCGATTATCTAGAGGAAGAAGAAGATAAAATATGTTTGTCAGTTATATGCCACAAATATGTTTCTTATTGCTTGGATATCCACATTTTGCATCATTCTGAAATACTAATTTTACATTTGATATGTATGAACAGTACTTTTATGTCATTAGAAAACTATGTCCAGATGCTGCTGCATTTTCTTGCACTTTAAATAAATTATGCCCCACTCCCCACCTTAGGTGACTGACTCAGTGTCCAGGTACTAGAGTCAAAAAGAGTTCATGTTGTTTTTTTCTCATTACTGTATGCATGACTAGAAATAGCAGCATGCGTAACATGAATGAACAAAATTATTTTTTTTTAATTCATGATAGTTTAGTACTCAGCGCTCTGCAGCACTACAGTACTTCTTTCCACCAAACAACTCTGACTGGCAGTTTAATAAATGCCAAATGACTCACTCACAGCTATGCTGAGATGCTTTTTAAATCTGATTGTGTTGAATAAAAATGGTGATATTATTCCTTTAACTAGTAGCAACCAGACCTTTAGCTCTGACTGAACACACTTAGCATGCTCTTAAGACAAGCTTTCTTTACCCAAAATCTGCATCATATTTGATAAAGTAATGTCCACTAAGTTTGTGTTTTGCAGTGTGAGAACTCTAGGTCACCACCATCTTGTGTGTAATTGAAACACTGACAGACATTCCCAAATATTAAATAAAACCCTTTAAATCAATGAGAAGCTTCATGATAAAATAACTGTTTGGCATATAAATAAGCTAAGGACAAAGCATCAGCTTTCACAAAGTCAGAGCCTTCATAGCTATTATTTACATTCACTCAAGATATTTCTGAGAAACTGACCTCATCTTATAAGTAGGAGATTAAAGGGCACATCCAATGAAAAGAGACAACATAAGCTGTTATATTTGCACAATGGAATCATACATTCCACTCAGAATGAATAAAAAGAGAACATTGTGACATATTCATGTCTACGTATCATGTCAAACCGAGTACTGCACTATCTGGTTTGAAAACACTCTTAATTAGACAAGTAATACCTAAAGAAAAGCATTTAGTAAGATGCTGAGGATGTTTAACAACAACTTTTTCTTTTAAAAGCACTAAATGCATTTGGACAGCATGCGTGAAGTTTGCAACATCCCTGGGGTAACATCCCAGAGGAAATCCCCTCTGAGTTGAAAGCCACGCCTCTTTGATTCTGCAATCATGGCAACATGAGCTGATAGCCAATCAGCAGCAGGGAACATGAATGGCACTTCACAATGGTGCTTTCAGCTTCACAAGCTGCATCTTCTTTCAGATTTTCTGGGAAAAATTTTAAGTTATGATCCACAGAAAAATCTACAAATACTGAACTGTGAATAGGAGGGGCACAGCAGGCGGTTTAATTGACTGCTTGGTGTTGCACTGGATTTAATCTGAGGTAAAGGAGGGCAGGTGAAGTTGTGCCACATGTTTTTGGATGTTTTAATATTCCTTTTACCTTGCATTTGTATGTGTTGGTGGTAGAGCACATAAAGTTCCAAAGAAATAAAAAAGCGTGTGGATTTCAAATAAAAAGATGTCCAAAAAGCTTAATGGTGTAAATGTTTTTTCCATTCAAGCTTAAGAAGATCTGAATCCATAAAAAAAAAAACAATGTTTATTCATCATTCAATGTTATTATTCTTTAATACATGAATACACTGATGTATACAATTAAACATTTACTGAAAAAAATAACTTGTATAAATATTAAAATAATCACCCACTGAAGCCACAGGAGTTTTAGCAGCACTGTCAACCATTAGCAAGGAATTTCACCCCCATCAGCAAATAAATGTAACTGAGCTGATACACATTTCATTTGTTTCAATTCTGTGACAATTAAAATCAACAAACCAACATGAAGCTCTACTGAGGAGTTTGATAAACGCTTTAATGTTTTGTTCTTTGGAAAGAACCTTTTGGGACAGAACTTTATCAGAGAATATTCTGGATTTGCTGTTAAAACCTGTCTTATTTTCTCCAACAGTTTCTGATGTGTGTCACTGTAAACTATCAGGATGTCTGCTAAGATAAATATCACCTTTACCTTACAGTCCATCTCCTTGTTTTATAGCTTCTTACAGAATATGATTGTGATATTTAGGATAGTTCATCTTTCAAAAACAAAAAATAAAGGAACAATGCACAAGAACTAAGAACCATTAGTTTAATTAGTGTAAGACAGCATTTCACATGAGAAAGTGGGATTTTTTTCTGGTTGAAACAAGACTAATCGTGACTTCCATAGTTTACAGAAGGAGTAAATTTGCTTCTATGTTTGCAGAGAAGCCATCGCACGCTGAGCTGAGTAGCAACATTTAAATGTTTAAATTCAACAGAAGTTCTGTTATACTGAGGCTGCTGCAAGAATGTACAAGTTAAATGCATGTTCACCAGCCTTTTCAGCTTTAAGGCTCATGAACCACAAGCTGATTGTGTAAAAAGGGATGCTGTTTGCACACTTAAAGTCATAATAAGCAAGTTTTATTGGAAATTAAATCATCCCCAGAGCTAGATTATGATGCCAGGAATGTGGAAACATAGGCGCCTGCCTCACTTGCCAACTGGATTACACGGCACCTGACCTTAATTACAGACCTGCTCAATCAGGATAACACCAGATGGATAGACAGGGAGAGGGATATGGATGGAATATTACATATGATGTTTGGTTATTTTTGCTTGTCTTCTGCTTTTTATTCAATGTTTGTTTTCTCAGCTGTAATCATTTTATGGTTCTTAAGGTCACACATATCACAAATTTACAATATGACTCAGCAAAATTTTCGAACATCAGATTTCTGAGGACCTAATAATAAATCTTTTATTTCAGAATCCTTTCTCTTCCTCTGGAAGTCTTGTCAAATTTAAATCAATGCCAAAAGTGGATTTGGAATCTCTGTTAGAAACACCAGCCCATGCCTTAACATTTATATTTTAACAAAACTTGATACTTGTAAGCAAATAAATCATTTCTTAAAATAGACGATACAACATAATGTTATGCTTGACAAATTAGTCACTTCACGTTATGTAATAAAGCAATAGCACTTGGTATGATATATATTTTGTTCCAGGAATTTATAATGTTAAATATAGCATTTATTAAGGTTGCTGTTCATTCAAAATGAATGGCACTCCTGGATTGGCTGGTTTACAAATGCAATGCAATATTGTGTTAGGTAGGATTGTCCACAAGTATTTCAGCTTCCAAAGTTGCATTTCTTTTGAATATTTTAAGTATGCTCTGTGAAAAAATCTGCAAATAGGCAAATTTTCCACAAATAATTAGGATTTACATTCCCCAGTAAAGTCCTCAAATACTGATCCTTGGATGAGATCAGGATTTGCCCTACACTACATTCTTATCTGGTCTTATCTGTCTTTTACAAGTTCACCAACACATATATCTGTGTTGGTGAACACAGATATATGTTAGTCATAAAGTACAAGTTGTCAGCTTCTCAAGCATCTGGCAGCTTGAGGTGAGTGATTCTTCATTAGCGCAGACAGATTGTCTACAATCTGAAAAGGTTTGTAATTGTTGTGCCACTGTTGCAATAATGAGTAGCAGTTGCAAAAACACCGTTGAGGTGGTACACATGTAGTGTACGCGGTGTGTAAAAGCTACACTGCTCATGCTATGGAACATTTTGACATATATGAAAAATCAATAGCATGTTAGCTGAGCGGTAGCTCATGAAATTCTGTCTACTTCTGTGTTTATGGGTGGAAAGGAGATTCTGGATCCTTTTCATGCATCGCAGCATTTCTTCCTACAACATTGAAATTGAAGGAAGTAATAGAAATTTATAAAAGTAGGCATTTAGAAAACTTAAGCCTCTGTTAGCATGCTAAGAAGTGGCTTAGTTCATTCATGTTTTGAACTGATTCTAAAATAAGTTACTGCTCCAACAAACTCAGAAGCCGAGTATTTTGTGTTGCTGGTCTAATTAAGATTCATTGCTCTCATGTTCTCATATGTATACATTGGTCATGGTAGTTGATACAGCCAACAAAGGCAAATACAGTTTACACCAACAAAAGCAGATGAAACTAAATTCCATAATTGTGGCACAAAGAAAATCACAGCATCCTAAGCATATTTCAGCAAATCAAAGTTTGAACAGTGTCTTTTACAAGTGCTCTTCTCTGGGGCTGCTTGAGTGACAGAAACACGTGGTAGCAATTAGGAATATTTCAAGTCTTTTTGATCCAAACCTGACTTTTCCCCAGAATCTGAGCATTTTCCAAAGTCACTTCCTTTCCATGTAGTGATATTTTTATTCATGTCATTTCTCAGTCATTTGGCTGAATCCAGCAGATGAAGCAGCAATGTTTGGATTATACTGTGACAACACATTATGAAGAAGTCTGTAGACTTACAATTGTTCTTTCTTTTTTCTTGCTTTTTATTTTCTTCTACAGAGGGAAAACGAGAAAGCCAGAGAACGTTGAATATTGCCATCCGCCCACTAGATTTCCCTTTTCCAGCTTCAGATAAACTTTGTCCTCTTTTTCAAGATAAAGTAGAACTCCATTGGTGGCAGCTTCACGAGTCACATCTTTGTCCCCTGCAAAGGCAGAGATGACTGGTTTTCCGTTTAGCATCAAGTTAACCTGAATAATCCACAAGAAAGTAACAATTAATGACAATAAGGATGACAATAAGGTACAAACAACAAGCACAAAACTGCAACACAGACATTTATTAAAGTTTAGACAGGGTGTACTGGTAAATATAGAATAATATCCTCAGTCTGAAGTTTGACTGCATCCTCAGGTGAGCTTTTCAAACTGGATGAACTTCAGGGAAACCACTCACCTTTGGCTGGTTTGAGACTAAGATACTAGAAGTTTAGGACTTGTGAAAAAGTTAAAAAATGTTTCCTCAAACTTTTATATATTTGCCTCTGAAGAACATGTAAATGTGAATTCAGAAACACAGCCTTGGGAATACCTTCAAGAAGCAAGGTGCTTCCCTCTGTGATGGAGACTTTTGGTTACTTGAACAACAAAGGAACCCAACTTCCTCTCTGTCTAAAATGTGTTTGCTATAATTTGTTGTTTTTCTTTGTATTAAATGATTATTCAAATAAGTATAGTTCAATTTATTATGGGACTATTTTTATACATACTTTAATCCTGCTTTTGTACAGGTATATATTGATTGCCATTTGTCTAGACCAGTGATTTCCAAACTTTTCAAGCTGTGAGAAACAGAATACTGGTGGAAAAGACCATCATTACAAGTTAATCATACCATAAGGTCAATTAAACAAGAGTGTTCTGATAGTAGAAACATAATCATGAGCAAATATGTTACTTTTATCTATTTAACACTGACATATAACATTTACAGCATAAGTGTGCTTTCTATTATCAGTGTGGTGCAGAGGGGTTCTGGACTCCACACTTGCTGATTCACAAACCCCAGTGGGGTTCCAACCCCGAATTAGGAAACCAGTGGTCTAGACTACTAAACCAATTTAATGAGATTTAAAGGAGCAGTGGGGCATTGGAAAAGCAAAAATCCAATAAAATCCAAGGTGAATTGCTAACACTATTAAAACTGCTGCAGTAAGATCGGCTCCTTCCTGAGCTGACAGAGCTGTCTTGTGGTTGATATGACTAATGCCTGGTGAAAAGATTTTTTTTATCTTGGTTAACAAAACACCTATTCTATTAGTCTGGTTCTGATAGTACTGTTTGTTTGATTTACCAAAAAATAAGTTCTGATAAATATATCTTTCCAACATATGCTCTGATCTTTTTCCTCTTGCTTTTTTTTTATTTTTTATGAAAAACTGCCCAAAGTCCAAACCCTTTGGTGTGATGAATGTATAATATTTTTGATTGAATTATTTTATATTTAGGCTTTATTGTCTGCTCCACTTCAGTTATCCAACTAGCCTTATTTCTTTTCAGTCCCATGAAGGCACTGAGGGGAATATACTCACGTTTGTACAATACACACTTATCAGCTTAGCTTTTTCAAATCTTTTGGCCAATTAGTGAAAAAACCTCAGACTTTTCAAGTTGTTTTGACTATGGCTGGCATTTCCACTAGACCACATTTATAAAATAAGTTAATTTTTTCCACTTGTCATGGATGCATTATTACCAAATCCACTGAAAAGAAACATCCTAAAATGAAGGTATCAGATATGTTTGTTTTACTTCTGTATCGTCTGAGCTTGCCTTGAGGATGGCATAGGTACAAAATGTTAAAGTCACCCATTTTTATCCTAAGTAAAATTGCTAAAAGTGATATTTAGAGTACATCTTTTTAAAGCTTTTGATGATTAACAATTTTTAAAGCTGATATAATTGTGTCAGCTAATATCTTTTAGAAGAATTACTATAATACATTTAGCCATTTTTACAGAAAATGGCGTGTGAACTAAATGAAGACAGTACCTGTATAGTTTGGCTCTGGTACACTTTAATGACGTGGAAGTTAAAACTGTAGACTCCTTTTCTTGGGGAAAGAAAGACAGACTCAAATGTGAAGTAGTTTCCTATATTCACAAGCACCTGGGAGAAAAGGGAAAAAGCAAAAACAGTATGTATTGTGACAATGGTCCGTATTCATTCAATACTTCTATGAAGGCCTTATTTCAAATGGCTTTTGTGATTAAATAAAAAATGTTATCAACCATGCCGGATTCTCTCCTGTGAGTGTCCCTAGGCTCAGACACTGAAATGACACAATTTGCCAAACATTTAACTGCTGTTCTTAGGTGGATTAAAAAATGCATTCAAAGGTTTCCAGGGTTTTTATTTGTTTTGTCATTTATGGCCACATCACACTTTCCATTGCCTCTTTTTCAAGATAAACCTGAAATGATGTAGAGGCTTTGTCATGTTGTACTATACACAAAATAATCTACTGACAATAAGAAAGTAGACAAACATGTTTTCATTCATTTACATGTTGAAATCTATGTAACCTGAATATGTCCGTCAGCATCTCCAGCAGACCATTTACAACTGTCTCATGGTGTCACTAAAAGGTTTTTCTGCACACACAGTCACATTAGAGCCACTGTGTCTAAAGCAAAACGGAAAGAAAAGGTTAGTGGATTTTAATTAATGTAGGCAGCAATTCTCTTCCTACCTGCAGTTTCACACCCTCCTGATTTGCACCTGCTCAAAAACCAACATAAGCTGAATCAGAACCCTTCTCATATCTAGTCATGGGATTCGCTGAATTCACACACCAGATCGTTATGCAGAGACGTCAAAAGATCACGGTGTGCAATTCAGACTAGAAGGCAGACTGTTTCAGGGATCCCAACACTTGATGCTGCCAATGTACGTGTAATTTTTGTGATTTTTCATGTTTGGGCTCTTCTTTCATGCTGAGACTGCAGGGACAGTCCAAGAATGCTGAGGCAATAAGCTGTATCTGCTTCCAGTTATGCCTGTCACCAACCACAGCAGAGCTTTTTAAATGGTCAAGTCTCTTTTGGTGCAGTTTGACATTTCTTGTCACTACAATTACCTCAAATACTATTCTTTTGCCCTGAAATCCAATATGTCTTACGAAAGTGATGCAAAATATGATAAAAATACAATATTTATATACTATATAATACCTCCATCTCAAGGACTAGAACCAAATTGCACCAAAAAATTGTCTAGTGAATATTGGTGGTGATGGGGGCAAAGTAGAAGAAAATTAAAACAAGCCACATGTTGTGCACCTGACTTCACACAAAATCTAATCTAGGTAGAAATCATGCCCTCCATTCAGATGCGCCTGATTGTCCTTGTAATTAATTTGTATATTCATATAAACAGCATGTATTTTCATCAAAAATCATTTTGCTTCTTTAAAATACAGCAATTGTTACATTGATATTCATATTCCAATAGTTACTATGTCTGCTGAGCGTAGGGAAGAAATTCAAAATAAATGAATGGTCTACTGTAAATTTTTAGCTTACTAAGTGAAATTACTTTTACTTTATTTCAGTAGAATTGTAAATTAACTCTTCTGAACTTTGACTTTTGTGGTTTTGAGTATGTTTTAAGAAATATATTGATATTAGCAAATCCAAGCTAGTTCATGACAGTATTGTACTTTAATTTATAATCTAATCAATATTTACCTTATCTCTGAATGGATTAGATAAAGGGAAGCATCATTCAACTATAGTTAAGTCTTAATCATCACTTACTGATACAGAAACTCCATTTTGTGATTTTTACACTCAAATTACTTTCTTCAAGTTAAATCCGAGTAAAGCCTCCAAGAGTCGGTACCTGGACTTCCTGATGATCTGAATGATAACAGTAAAGAATATTTCTATCAATCCATTTTCCTACTTCTCTCATCAGCTGTGGACACATCTGATACAGAACAACTGATACAAAGTTTGAATTTCTCACATCTGCTGGACTTGATGGGCGGATTGCTCCTGCATCTACTTAATGCAAAACAGTTGCAAAAACTCAAGGAGACTCATCACTTTGCAATTTTCCCCTAGAAGCTATAAACTCAAAAATGAATTTTAGAGCCAGTAGTGTAGGAGAAACCAAGGGGAAAATGTCATTTTAGGGAATCTGTCTTGTGTGTTTCCACCATATTTTTCCAGATTCCTGCAGAGACGAGCATCTGCTTGTTATTTTTAAATGCCACAAGAGAATCTAAAAAGTATACGGTGGAGTTTGTGTTCTGATAATTACAGATAACAGTAAAGAGGCTTTTAGTGATATAACAGTGAGGACTGTGCCTTTTGTTTGGCCAGAACAAGTTATGCATTATGTCCCAGAACAGTTCTAGAATGTAATTTGATTTTTCATCTTCAGTAAAAAAGTATTTGAATCTTTAATCTTATGTTCTCTTATGTGAGGTAAGCCAAAGCATGATGGGTGATTTCAGGCATTTTTCTTTCAAAACAAGTCATAAACCTCAAGAAAGTAAATCTGTCTTCTCAGACAGATTGGTTTATAATTAATTATTCATTTTATTGTCAGAGAGTATTTATACATTCTAAACAAATAAGTGGGTCAAAAGTCTGTGTAGACACTTATTATTGTTACAATGATAGCATAAACACATTAAATATGGGTAAAATTGGTTATAGCTTAGAGTATGAGTTGTTTGATCTGTGTTGTTCACCCGACATTATTTCATACATTTACAGAAGTAAACATATCACAAACTGTGTTTTTGCTTTTGCCTACTTCTTTCAGTAGGCATAACATTGGGAACAATAGGCTATTTAAAATGTTCTTGGAAAAACATATGAATCATGCTCATTTAGTTATTAATTTATTATAACAGCATGAATTAAATAGGATGCTGGCCCAAATTATCTCTTCATATGTCAGGTTGCCATGTCTCCTATGTTGTCAAATGAGCTGAGTTATAAACTTTTTAAAAGTTTTAAAAGCTATATACATGATCATTTCATCCAGATGACTGTAATGTGCTTTGGCTACATTTATGGTACTCAACAGTAGAAAGAAGTTGGCATAGCAGCTTAATTTGGGGTGCAAGTGATGTTTAATGAATGGCTAATAATAAGGATAGCTCTTTGTTGTGACTCCTATGGAGACCATGTTGTAGGAATCGACAGGTCACATGAAATTAGGTCCAGGATTGCATAAATGCTTCGCTCTTTTACTTTCGCTCCACACTAATGGGATCACAAAATTTTAACAAATGTTTCCTTGCACTCTGAGACACAACATATAAATGTTGAACATATTTACGGTGGTGAAACATATAACATGATGCCTCCCATAACCTAAATGGCCAAAAGGAAAGCCACCACATTTAGACGATTGGACTGATTTTTCCTTCTGTTCAGTCCCATTCTGTGTAGAAAACTTCTGAGAGTGTGCTACTATATGATTTCATCCACAATGGGCAGCAACATCCGTATCTCTCCAAGTCTTACATCAATGAAGTAGGAAAACCTGATTAATACATGTGTACTAGCCTCATTATCCATACACTAAAAGCAAACCTTCTGGATGAAATTTCACGTTTATTATATGCAATATAATAATTATTATTGTACAATATAGTTATTATAACATGATAGCGTTTAAAAAATGTTTTCTTTGTGACAGCAAGATGCTTCCATAGGATGTGCTTCCAGTTAGATAATAATGAAATGAGGTTTGGATGTTGGTGGTTTTGTTACAACACCACAGCAGAACCTTCACCATGTATGAAGAGCATCTTTAGGGAAATCCAGGAGCTACGACAATAAACATAAAGTCACAGTAAGTTTTTTTTCAGCTATTTAGAAAAAACTTGCAGGTTGCTGGCTTTAATTATTTTTAAAATAAGCCCTGTTTTTTTATTTAAAGTTCAATCTAACTGCTAATTCTGTACACATTTCTATTTATAAATACCTAAATCATTTGCATACTATCGTGCAATAAATCCTCAAGCATTAAAAAATTTGTTTTTAGTTTTTAAAGAAAGCCTGTACTTTAAGTTAAACAATTGATAAGTTTTAAAAACTATAAATTGTGTGAGAATTTCAAACTTTGGGGCCCCTTGCTGGCGGGGGGAGGGCCCTAAGCCGCAGCTTTGTTCGCGCATGCCTTGAACCGGCTCTGGGTGAGCGTTACGCGTACATGGCGCTGATGGTAGGAAGCGCGTACATGGCGCTGATGGTAGGAAGCACAGGGGTGTGTGTGTGTGTGTGTGTGTGTGTGTGTGTGTGTGTGTGTGTGTGTGTGTGTGTGTGTGCAGGCTAATACAGGACACAAGATCCGGTTACTTTCGGATCTGCGTGCTGGCAACCACATTATTTGCGTGTTAACTGCGACCACCGTCAAACTAAACTCCAGGGTGCAGCTGCAATAAAACCGACAACGATATTTTAATGTCCTGCATCACGTCAGAGACAAGTTTTACGAAAAAGCCAAAGGAGTAAAACTGGACTGAAAACATATTGACAGAATATTAAAACTGATGTTAGTGCGCGTTCATCAGTTTTTAAGCACATTTTAAATAAGATTAATTGTCACAACAATAAAAAAAAAAGGTTTTAACCTGATCGAAGTAGATTATTCTTGTTTTGTTGCTCATTTCTGACGGTTCATGATTGTTGCTCCGGACTGCAGAAAAAGCCACCTTGGAGTTGGCGGCGCGCACGGAGATGCCGAGCGGAGAGGACGAAGACCTCCAGTCCGTGGTCGGGTTGGAGTCGCACACCACCAGACATTTTCCCTCCAGCACGATCGGCTCCGTATCATTCTGAGCTCTCACAACCCCGGAGATCAGCGTCCAGCTGAGCAGCAGTATGAGCGAGTTCACCATGGCGCTCCTTTTTCTGTTGTAATAGCTCCGATTTGAAGAGAGGGAGAGAAATTCTCCTGCGCGCCGCGAGTTCTCCAGTCCCTCCACCGGTCTTCACCGCCGCAGACGCGTCTGACGCTGTGAGCTTCTCTTACTGGACCCAAAAAAGAGCCATAATTGAGCGAAACATCAGTGACAATGAATCCTTATTAGATCTAAATCACATTACGCAGAAACAAAAGAAGCAAAAATGTTATCATTTTCAGTTCGAATTCATTCAGGAATCGTGGATGAGACCATAGTGGACCACCGTGGAAACTGGATGAAAAATGGTTCCAGTGAAATCAATCGATGAACCGTCCATAGCCCTCACTCCTCCGAATAACGCATCTGGTAACAGCTGCTCCCGCAGTGATGTTCCGCCTTTGTGCGCGCTCAGACTTCCACTTTACGCACACACGTGTGGCAGGAGAATAATTAACTATGTGTGCGTAAATGTCCCAAAGCTTAGATTACATTTCCTCATTCTCTTCAAAATTAATTTGATCTTCACAATCTCAAAGTACACTCTGATCCGCTGACAGTAATAAGAACATACATGGGATGAAGAATGAGAAAAAACATAATCTTCGAGGAAATTGTTCCCAGGTAATTTTCACTTTCTGTCTCAGCTTTGGGAGCCTGAGTGCAATAAAGAGCATCTCATCAAAACATCTGCATCTGTCCAGATCTGTCCAGACTAGGTCTCTAGTTTCAATGTAATATTGTGATTCGTTGTAGTCTCACCGCGCGCAGCTGGACTGGACATTTTTCAAAGTTAGTGCGCGGATCTGTGGTTTTTCAAAGGAGTCAGTGAAGGAACCTTCATGGCTCCTGACATCAGAGAATCTACTGTCAGATTATGAATGTCTTCAAAAGGCAGAACTTTCCATAAGTTGAAAGAATTTCTCCCCTGTTTTAAACTCGATTTCTTGCATTGTAAACAACATGAAACTCAAATGTGTACAAGTCTAATTGGTCAAGAGCTAGTCAATAAAATAAAATAAGTGTTCAGCTCATTTGGAGTTTTAAAGTCTGTAGATCTTTATTTACTGTTACTTCAAGAGTTAGTTTCAATCTAAACAGTGGTGAATTGTAGCTGATATATTTTGCAAAGACATTTTATCAACTGCTCCTGCTGAATGTTTCAAGCAGTATTGTTGGAAAATGTTCCAAAAATCCCAGTCAAACATTGTTAGGATATGTGGTAGATTGTTTTACCCGGACACATCACCGGTTCATACCAGGACAACAAAGAACCACACAGGACAGAGAACCTAAGTCTGTAATTGCTGTGAGACAGAAATACAAACATGTCTAATATCTTAATAATTATTCTGTCACAGAGCTGCATGGTATAATGCAATGCATCATTGCTGTGCTATGGAAGTGGCTCTGAATGGGGATGGAATGGACGGACGGACGGATCATATTACCGATAACATATTAAACATTTTGTGTTGAATGCATTATAGTATTTCATATTGTTGGAGTGAAGAACTATTCAACAAGTCTGAAGTTGTATTTAATTTTCAGATTAAAACTGTAAAAATAATCTCCTTTAGTAAATGCAGCAGCGATAAGGTTTTCTTCTCCTTCAGGTAATGCCTTATTTCAGTAAACAGTCAGGAGGAGCTGCACAGAGAGTCTAGTGATGACGGACGGTTGTGCAGCTCTGATCATGTCATCACTGTAATTACTCTTGCTTCACAGCAGGAAGGATCTTGGTTTGAGCCTCAGTTAAGGGCTCTTTTTTAGATGAGATTTTATTTTCTTTCCATGCCTGTCTGGGTTTTTCAATATGAGTTAAAGTTCTAACCCAGATGACTGCACACATCTATTTATTTACCCATTTTGCTCTTTATATTAAGTTAATTATGTCTGTATCTTTCAAAGTTTCTCTTTTTACCATCAGGAGTCAGAGTTATTTAATGTTATGATATGTAATACAGCAGCTAGAGACGAGTTGTTCCTGTCTCTAGTTTTATTGAAGCAAAGGAGAGCCTACGTTGTCACCTCATGACTCTGTCTATTGTGAAGTTTTGTCTCACCACCCAAATAAGAAAACTGCTCCCTAATGAACAAGCTCATTAACATGGTTACTAATGAGTCACTCTCAGATAGTCTCTTTTGAAAAGCTGTCTCACCTTTTCTCTTTCTTGTTCTACTTGAAACCCTGCTACATTTAAGATATGTTTGTGTCTGATGCAGATAGCAAGGTGCTGTTGTTGGTCTCACAAGGTAAAAAGGCAAAAATGTCTTTAGACGTCCCCACACAAAAATATGGGAAAGCTAAAAATGCTCAATTTTTAAAATTGTGCCTGAAACTATAATTATAAAATAATCAGCAGGTAACTGAAATACCTTATTTAGCGTAATACAATGGTGACTACTTGCTTGCTGAAAAAGAAATAAATAAAAACAAACTTTACTTCTTCAAACATAAGACAATTAAAAGAATGGCTGCAGTTGGCATGCTAAGGTGACACTTAGCTGATGTTTTGTAAAGTTATAATAAATTTATCTGTAAATATTTAACATCTACTGTTCTGTTTGAGACAGTTGAGTTTGACTCTGTTTGACTCAGTTAACTGAGTTTCCAAACAAGTAGAGAACTGGAAAGAATTTTAATAAACTGCAGGTCCAACTTACCAGCTGTTCGGCCTCCACATCTCTTCACACTTCTTCACTTCTCAAATGAAGGATACTCCTACTGATCTTGGTTTCACAGAACCTCACATCTAAGAATCAAAAATCTCCCTTTAACTCATCACAGAGTAGAATTTTAAGTTTCTGGAGTTCTTTTTAAATGAAAACTTTTGATTTTAAATAATGAATGTCTTTGAATTTATTAAGTCAGCAATAAGGTCTGTGGAATAAAGCTCAACCTACTATTCATAAGCTCCACAAAAACAACCACTAAACCACCACAGAGATTTTAACTGCCTTTTTATTTCTTTGAAATTCCAGTCAAGCAGCTTTGGTAGTAACCCAGACCCCCAAGGTCAGGTGTCTCACACCTCTTTTCTTTTTCTGCAATGCTGCGTGAAGCCTCTGAAGAAATCACATTTTATCAAAAACATCTGAGCAACCTTTAGGATTTGTTACATTGTCTGCAGGGTGAAAAGTAGCCTCTTACTTCATTATTTCAGCGTAAGCTTAAATTAAAACTGCATTATGTAACTTTAATTAAAAAAATGTTTTACATTTTTGTTGAAACTGTCACACAAAAATCAAGCTCCTCTGCCTTCTTCCAGTACGCATAGTGCTAACTAGAAACAACCAATCACAACCTACAGGTGGGTCTTGGTGCTGTTGGTCATGACTGTGTGCACCCCATACACTTCCTCTCTGCTGTGAAACTGCTTCTTTCTGTCTGCAGAGCCTGTCGCTAGTGAACATGGCAACCAATGACAGCGGATAAACAGTTTTCTATAATTCTGAGTTGTTTCTCCGCTATTAGCACATTTAGCAACACGTTCACTAGTTTGATTGACAGCACTAAGATGCTCCTATGATTGGTTGTTTTTGACGGGAGCAGTGAATTTCTCCAGACAGCCCTGGTAGCACAGGCAGGAGGTGGAGGAGCTCAATCTTTTCATAGTGATAGATTTAACAAACACAAGAAAAAATTATAAAAGTTGCATATTACAGCTTTAAAGGATATTGCACAAAAGGTTGTATTACATTGTGTCAATAGCCTTTGATTAAATTGCCCTAAGAGCAGATTTTTTCTGCAGTTTAATCATTTATATTTAACATAAATATCTAACAAATAATGCCATATGATCCACCAGTGAAGCTTGCAATGCCACTTTCCTGCATCTCCTTCAACCTCACTGTGAGAAGTGGCACCAGCTTGGAGAGGAAACTGTAAGCCATCTTGACTAACTGTGCCATAAGTGCTGTACTGCCTTTATGTCTGACTGACATGTTCTCTCCTGCCCTAAAATGTTCAGTTTTCCATCGTATCTTTAGGCCAGTATTCTCTCAACATGGCTAATCAGGCTAGAATTGAGAATGTTTTTTCTCCACATTTTATGCAGCAATATCAGACTCTGCAGGACAGTAATGGTCAGCACATCTCTGAAGCATAATTCAGTAATCAGGATAAGATAAGATACCAGACCAGGCTAAAGAGAAGCAGAAGCAGGCTACCTGGATACAAATGCTCACATTTTCTTTTTACCACCTGTAGCCAAATTAAACCTCTGCATGTATCCCAATATTTTAATGCTGAATAAAAATTCAGGTAAACAAGCGATATTTTATATTCACTCTGTTATTTTGACCTATCACACACAGCAGTGATTGGATCACTGACCCCGGTTGGGTCATGTCAAAGAGGTTAAATCTGTGCATTGATATCATTGTGATTTCAGTGGGTGGTTAGAATGATGGTGACCTCTGACTTCCCACATAAAAAGTTGTGTACTGATAGCTTGCATGTTTAGAATGAGACTTAATTTAGAAAAATAATAGTTGTTAGACCGCGCTTCTTAAGAGACGTATTGTATAAACAAATCTATTTCTTTATGTCTTCACATAAATTTGAAGTTGATCAATAGGAAACATTTGCAATTAAAACAAAACATTTAAAACTGTTGACAATGACCATATAGTATTTAATTTGAATTTTCTGTTCTGCTTTAGAGTGTTGCATAGTATCTGCTGTGATAATACATTATACCAGGGACCAATGTGTTTGTATAAAATATACAGCTGGCAGACAAATATTTGCTCAAAGGTTGCACATGAGCTTTATAATTATTTTAATGTTAATTAATAGTTAATTTTCCCGAGTAGTTTGTATCTTCTAGTCTCATGTTTTAGTCATAAAGTACAGCTGTTACTTCCACTAACTAAAAGCAACTTGATCCATGATACAATGACGGTGAAGTGGTGTTCAAGAGTGGAATTATTCCATTAACTATTTTAATGCTTGTTTATGAGGTTCATTGTTATTTAACTATCAAAGTCAAAGTCGGTTTATGGTCTGTTCTTCACATGTGCCAGAAAGAGATAAGAAAAGACATTCCTGACATTCAATAAAGCAAAGTGCACAGGCACAATAAAACATATTGTCATATTTCTTTTGTTTTGTAGATGCATAGAATATTCTATTCTTCTAGTTCTGAGTGAATACAGTATTCATTTTGTGAAGATTAGTCTGAATGGCAACATTAGTTTTAAAATATACACCAAATATACACTCAAGACAACTATTGCCCAAGATAGACAGAAAGTTCATAACATACTTTTGTGCACTCATTATTTTTTGTTCTTCTGTGAGACTGATTTACAAATCAAACTGTTGCATCAGGAGGAGTGGTGTGTAACCTTATCCAAGAAAAAGTGTGCAAGTACCAGAATCAGTCAGCTCTGGCAAAGTGCTCTTCTTTCTATGTAGCTTTTACGTTAGCTTTGTAACTTTATATCCTCATTTGGATAAAAGCGTCTCCCAAATGAATAAATATAAATACACAAACAGGATATGATAAGCCTCAGAGTTTCAGCAGTAAAAACCCAGTCAAAGCTGAACTCTGCATCAGTTTGTACAGCTGTCTAATCCCTCTGGGTTACAAAATACTCACATTTTTTTATCCAACAGAAGGAAGCAAGACACATGAAATTAAGGCCTATTATTGGCTGATTGTAAAAAAAAACAAAAAAAAAACAATTGGGCATGAAAAGATGATTATTTAATCTGCGTGTACTATATTATTCATGTTGTGTAGCATGTAGCGTGTAGCGTAAGTATTGTTAATTCAGAAAAAGGAGCAGTGACATTACTTACTGTTTAAACTTTACCTTTAATAACATAAAGTTACCTAATTTTTAAAGTGAAATCAGTAATA